GTGCTGCAGACTGTCTGCCCTCGACCATGTTTTATGTAACAACATAATAATATATCTCTGTAATTTTCTCACCTTTGAATGATTGAAAGCAACTTGTTGGTGGGTGAGACAAACATGATCGAAAATGCATTTACTCAACGTCAGTGACACAAACCCTTTCTGATGGCGAATTATTACTCTTATCTTATAACTGCCTTTTGGCTATATCTGCCGTTGTATTGGTTGGTGGATCATATGTGTCAAACTCATGAGGGTGGTAGCTGACGAGAGGATCTGAGTAGACTCTCAAGTCAGCGGCCGAAAGCCGCACAACGTGGGACCCCATTCCCTTGAGGTGAGCGGTAGACTTATGACACGCTCTGCGGCTAGTAGCCGTGCTGATCATGCAATTGGTAGTGATGCCATACACTTACATCAGGTCTGCAGGAGTGGCGGTCTGGTAGGTGGTGGCGCTTTATGAAGGGTTTACGGCCAGAGTGCCTATTTGCCTAAACCGTGTGACGTACATTCATTGTGGCTGGTTTCGTTCGTATTCTGTATGGCGTTTACACGCATTGACATGCGCGACGTCGGTCGATGCTCAGTGCTTACGCACTAACAAGGGGCCAAGCCTCTTTTACTGGTTCACCAGTTATTTTGCTGTGGACTACGGTCCAGTTCCCGAATTAACGTTCCCTACGAGGGGAGTGCATCAAAATGGTTAGCGTTCACGGCGCACGGCGTGTGCCGTGTGCCTCCCCTACATTTTTTTTTAAATAAATATATTAGAGCGAAGCACTTGTATCGGGTATTTTGTATAAATATATTGTGAGCCTTTTCCAAGTGGGAAGGGATAATTAAAAATAAATTAATAATGCAAACCTGATACAAGTGGAATAGGGACGATTTATGTTTCTAACTGTTCTTGAGCCCTGTCTTCGTGAACGGGGTTCACTTAGCTTATAAGGCACTACCAACAGGTTTCAATTACTCTAGTCAATATTCATTCTTCCAAAAGACACCTAAAATAACTAAGTTATTAAACAAACACAACGTAAATAAGGGTCCTAACTTAGCTGATCACGCCAAAATATTACAAACGGCTTATTATTAAACCTTTAAAAAGTTCATTTAGAAAGATCAAAACATATTGTTACGAGCTTGCGGTTCGTGACAATAAAAATTGCCGATAAAATTACCTAAATTAACACTTTAATTTACTTTACACAATTAAAGTTAAAACACCAATAATTTAAACACACTAATTCACTTAATTCCACTCCGAAGCTTCGCTTGTTTCGCCCAAATCAACACTGCCCCGATCGCATCTTGCAGCGCCTATATATTTAAATTAGCAAAGAAATATCCAGAATGTTCAAGTAAACACGGGCAACGTACCGAGCGTTCGAGTTTCGACTAGGCGCTGTCGGTTGAGTAATTTGTGATGTCATTTTCTCAATGCTCCCCTCGCTCTCGTTCCTGACACTAGATGGCGCTAGTGTATCGTTGACTGGAGCGCGTAACACTGCCCCCTCCTAAGACATGCTCGTCCCGAGCATTATCGGCCCCATAATAACGCGCCAAGCGATTCACATGGACGATCTTAGGAGTCCCTCTTGCGCCTTTCTGTAACGGCTCCGCAATGTCAAGGGCTGTCCTATCCCGTGGTGCACCAACATTGTACAATTTCGGTGCTCCTCTACTACGTGTCCGAGGTCCCCGCTCGGCCGCACAACTTGTACATGTACGACACCAATCCTCGACATCGTCACGATAATGGACCCAGTAAAACTGTTCTCGGACCTTCAGTAGAGTTCGTTTAACTCCCAGATGGACTATTGAACGACCATTATGGCACAACTGTAGAACATTCGGCACTTTAGCTTTAGGGACAACCATTTGCAAACGACAGCTGTCTCTTCGACCATTGTCCCATTTACGGCACAGGACTCCATCCTGAATCAGCAAGCTGTCCCATTGGGCCCAATAGCTTTTCGTGGTTGAACTCATCGCTGAGACGTCCCTCCACTTAGGCTTGGTAGCACGGGCCTTCATCCATCCCAGAATCGGCTTGATGTCCGGATCTTCCTGCTGTGCATGTCGTAGGTTGTCCTTCCATTCGTTGCTGAGGTGGTCCGTCCTGAGCATCCTCACGGATACCACCTCCTTACTCTCTTGCCTACTACAATGGTTGCAATCTTCAGGACAAGGTCTTCTTGACAATGCATCTGCGTTGCCGTGAGATTTCCCGCTGCAGTGTCTGATAGTAAAGTCGTATTCCTGCTGCTGCTGGGCGGTGCTGTTAGCCGCACTTCCTTTCTGAGACCGTTCACCTTCCCTTCCTAGGGTGTGCTTAGGGCAGCTGGACCGAAGATGGCCCTTTTCCCCACAGCCATAGCACCTAGGGCTGTATCCTTTGTTGCGGTCGCGAACTGTAGCTGCTGCAACCTCCCTGACGCGATGGGAACGATGATCCTGCCGCACGGCTTCTACCTCCAGTGCATGGGCCAAGGCGTCCTTAAGCGTCTCATGGTGCCCGAGCCTCACAGCAGCTCTGACTTCCAGGTCACGGATGCCGTCGATGAATGTCTGCACCAGGTTCCCTCCAATGAGCGCAGGTACAGACCGGTATGCCTTTCGCACCAGCTTCTCCACCTCTAGAGCCCACTGCTGCAGGTTTTCGTTGATGCGCTGCACGCGATCTTTAAGCTGCGCACGAAAGACGTGTTCCAGGTGAGCGTCGCCATACCTCGCCTCCAATGCCTCAATGAGTTGCTCATAAGTCACTTCCTCACCGAGAGCTTCCAGAACTGTTAAGGCCTGGTCGCGCAGGCCTAGTGTGAGAGCAGTCATGGCCTGACTTTCATTCCAGCCGTTCGCCTTCATAACATCCTCGAACTGGATCTTGTAGGCTGACCAGGAAGAGGTACCGTCGAACGGCGGCACTTTGAATCCACGTAGCGAAGGTGTTGTAGCTACTACGGGAGCTGTTGTTCCATCCCCAAGTTTGAGGTCGTCCAGCGTTTTCTTCACGTCAGCCATTACGTTGTCAACCCGATTGTTTACTTGGTCGATTCGGGTTTCGGCCTCCGACAGGCGGTTGTCATGTTGAGCAACCTTATCCTTCACCTCCCGTATCTCTTTTCCGAAGATAGCGTGAAGGTCCTTCATGAGGAGCATCTGCTCTTCCTTATCGCGTTGGAGTTGCTCTTCTAAACGACGGGCCTGTTCCTCCTGCCAGCGGGCCTGTTCCTCCTGCCGGCGGGCCTGTTCCTCTTGTCCGCTTTGCAGCTGCTCTTTCAACTGACGGGCCTGCTCCTCCTGTCGGCGAGCCTGCTCCTGCAGCATCACCATCAGAGCACCTAAGTCAGGTGCTGCAGATGTAGGAGCTACCGACGGGCCTGCAGCCGGTGGCTGGCCCTCCGTCGTCTGCGGCGTTGCACCACCAAATCTTCGTTGGTCCGTCTCCTGCTGGCGTTGACTTCGGGTACGGACACCCTCCGTTTCCTCCTTAGGTAAAATCGGCATGATTTTATCCCACTTCTGACACCAATTGTTACGAGCTTGCGGTTCGTGACAATAAAAATTGCCGATAAAATTACCTAAATTAACACTTTAATTTACTTTACACAATTAAAGTTAAAACACCAATAATTTAAACACACTAATTCACTTAATTCCACTCCGAAGCTTCGCTTGTTTCGCCCAAATCAACACTGCCCCGATCGCATCTTGCAGCGCCTATATATTTAAATTAGCAAAGAAATATCCAGAATGTTCAAGTAAACACGGGCAACGTACCGAGCGTTCGAGTTTCGACTAGGCGCTGTCGGTTGAGTAATTTGTGATGTCATTTTCTCAATGCTCCCCTCGCTCTCGTTCCTGACACTAGATGGCGCTAGTGTATCGTTGACTGGAGCGCGTAACAATATTTTATTAATCCTGGTCACATATATATAATTTTATTGAAAAGGGTTAAATTAATTATATATTATATATTTAATATCATACATATATTTTCTTTACAAAAATACGGATTTGAAAGGGATATATTCAGTTTTGAGTCAGGAAGGAGATGTGAAACTGGGGAAGGAATTTACGCGTTTAGGTGTCAGAGAGCATCATTTCTTTTTCATACCTTACAGCAGCAAATTCAATTGAGAAATGTCATTCACGATTCCATGTCATACCCTGTATCCAGGTTAACACCTTCGCCCCAAGGAAGACAAACATTGCAAGCATCAGTAGTACATCGTTCCTCGATCGACAATGGTCAAATAGACGGTTCAGTGCCAACACATAATAATAACCTATCTGATATTGCTTCTCACCACCTTCGCCCCAAGGAAGACAAACATTGCAAGCATCAGTAGTACATCGTTCCTCGATCGACAATGGTCAAATAGACGGTTCAGCGCCAACACATAATAATAACCTATCTGATTTTGCTTCTCACACATCAGTAACACGAACTGCTAACCCGTCACCGAGATCACCATCTAGTGCCGATATTTTGGAGGTGATGCCATTAAATTCAGGCCCACAAGCTCTTAACAACCATGTTACTAATGTTTATCAAGTACGTGATTTTAAAAGAGAACATAATAATAATCAAGAAGCCGCTTTACAGTTTTAAGTCGACATTTGTATAGTAATGATTTTAGCAGAGATTTGGCACTTCTTAAAAATGATTTACGCCAAGAAATGGTTCTAAAACGATGAAGATAAAAAATTATTTTTGGCAAATAAATACAAGACCATTTCTAAAAAAATATGTGAATACTGCTTTATCACCGACTATAAGTAATAGTAGTGACCATTATGCTCAGTTAACTGTTGATCAACAAGAAGCAGCTAGACTGTATGTAAATATTGCAACAAATGATACAAATCTGGCAGAAAATGAAAAAACTGAAATTGTTCCCACCACACCACTCACCCTAAAACAAGTAGAATATTGTAATTTGACTATTGGCAACAAATCATAAATTAACAGTTATGCAAACTTATTGTTGGGCGATATGGTGGACAGTGCTAAAAAGTGTAGTGCAGAACAGTCACAAAAGTTTTCGGAATCTGATACTTATACATCAATGTCACCAGTTGAAGAATTGGAAGTAAACTATGCTGTACTCGATATAGACTCTAACAAAGAATGTACGAAAATTGCAAGAGATTTAGCATCCCCTGAGAGCCAGTCATACACAAGTTCAAAAAATGAAAGCACTGCTTCATATACATCAAAAAATCGTGGGCGCCTGGTTTCTCAAAATAATTTGGAACAGACGCCTGCAACTTGCCCGTCATCAGCGGCAGCTCCTTCCAGTGTTGGTTACACAACAATAGACTTCGACAAAACTGTTGCATTAACTTCTGTTGCTGCAGGAGATGTTAGCATTGATGGCACAATTCATGTAGTCTTGTATGTGGAAGTCCAGGTAGCACTGATAAAAGCGGTAAATAATTATCTTTAGATATTAAATTATGTAAATGCAATCTTTTATTAGAAATACGGTACCCAAAGAAACTATTTGCCAAGTATACAATAATAAGTTAATGGCTTATTATGCCAAAAAACAGACCATTATATGATGGAAGAACATAACTATGGTTTTGTATAAACATTAATTTCTTCGTTCATCTAGTTTTTAATTTGCTTATAACTGTAAATAGTCTCATATAATCAAAGTCAAATATAAAGTTTTTTCAAAAAAAAAAAAAAAAAGAAAGATATCGTTGTTGTCAAATAAATATGTAATATAATATATGAATGTATGAATTAATAAACTGGGGATAGCTTATCTAGCACTAGTACGATTCTTCTAAAAAATTGTTTATATTTATTGACTAAGTTGATATTATAAACTCAATACAATTTAATAAACAAGTTGCCAAAAAAATTAAGAGGAATATATTTGTGGCACGTGTATGTATCCTCCTTTAGCTTGACTGTTAGAATAATGAATGTATTTTAATATTACATGTGTATGTTTAAGTCCAGGAGTATATTATGGTATATCGGGCTATTTTAAAGTCTGTTAAAGGTAGGCAGAAAACTTGACAAAGTACTATGTTAATGTCTACGGAAAACAATACGAATTGCTCATCATATTTCTCTTTTGCTTCACATAGGTTTATTTAGATTGGGAACATAGCTATTTCAATTTTATGTCTCAATTAAATTTAATGAATAACAAATTTTATTAGAAAATCAAATACTTGGCATAAAATTGATTTATTGATTAAACCAATCTGATATTACATAGCAGGTATAAGCAAAAGGTAAACAGAGATCTAAAATGCGGAGGATAAAATGAGAAAATGGTTGGCTATCCCTACAGTACACTTAGTCCAGAAGCTATACTTCACTAGGACGTCCGTTTTTCCACCTGCTCTAGGAACCGACTATAATATAGATTTAAGGAAGGGACATATTATGTTTGTGGCGTAGTTATTGCCACAGACCAGACAGATACCACAGACTCGGCTCCACGCCGTGGTAGCGGCGTTAAATATACCACCCCATGAGGAAAATAAAAAAATTCGCACCATGAGGAATCGAATTAAAGAAATGGCCCCGTGTTCCCGGCGCCCCTTTAATGGGACAGGGGTGCGAAGAATCTCCGGGAGGAAAACCGGCGACGAGGTACGCCACCCGTCACGTTCTGTCTCCCGGAGAGGCGAAAAGTGGATTGCAGACGCCCGTCTGGCTACGTTGAATGTATGTGGGGCACTGAATGATAAAATGGATGAAGTATGCGATATGATGTATGTAAGAGAAATAGATGTGTTATGCGTAAATGAGACGAAAAGAAAGGGGAAGGATGTCACTACACATGACATGTATACCGCATACTGGTCTGGCGTAGACGAGATCGAGCGGGCATGCCAGGGAGTAGGTATCATCCTTTCAGAAAGAATGGGCCAATGTGTCAAAGAGTATGAATGTGTAAGCCCAAGACTGCTATGGATACGAATGAAAGTGGGCTTAAAGAAGTTGTTTGTGTTAGGGGACTACGCCCCAGACATGTCTAAGCCCACTTATATCCGAGAGCAGTTTTGGGAAATGGTAAGGATTGTGTTAATGAAGTGTAAGGGAAATGAAAATATTATTATGCTAGGAGATTTTAATGGAAGGGTTGGGGTGAGGAGGCTTGGTTATGAAAGGATATTGGGAACGTTTTGTGATGAAAGTATAAATGAGAAAGGTGAAAGTCTCCTCACCGTATGTATGAAAAAGAATCTTTTTGTGACGAACACTTGCTTTCGCCACAAGAGGATTCACATGTATACTTGGGAAAGAGGTGACGATGGAAGCATGATAGATTTCATAATTGTAGATGAAAGATTGAGGGGCGCAGTGGTAGATACGAGAGTTTACCGGGGTTCTAACGTAGGAACGGATTATGATTTAGTTTTATGCCGAATTAATGGTCTATTCAGGCGTTGGCGCCATCGATCGTCTGTGTCTACCACTGCGTTACAGCGTATTAGAACAGAAAGGTTACAAGATGAAAGTGATAAAAACAAGTTCAAATGTAGACTGAAAGAAAATATAAGTGGTTTGGATGAATTATGTATGAAGGAGTTAGACTTGGAGAATATATGGCAAAATGTAAAGAAAGGTTTAGTGGATACAGCTACCGAAGTATGTGGTGTTAGTAAGAGAAAGAATGAAAGGAAAAATAATACGTTATGGTGGGATGATGAGATACGTATGGAAGTTGAAGCAAAGAAGAGAGCATGGCTAGATTTACTAGCAAAAATGCTGCTAATTCTAGTGGTACGAATGGTGATATTGAAAGAAAAAAGGCAGTCTTTAGACATCTTAATAAGAGAGTAAAAGAAGTAGTTGAAAGAAAAAAGCAAGAAAGAACGGATAAGAATGATAGAAGAATATCGGATAACTTCCAGGCAAATATTAAAATGTTCTAGAAACTTGTAAGAACTGCCAGGGGACATTCAAAACAGCATATTATGAATGCTATAAGAGACGAGAATGGCTATATTCTGAATGATGAAGTTTTGAGTTTAAAGAGATGGAAGGAATATTTTGAAAGCGTGTTTATGAGTGAGGTGACAACGTGTGTACTAAGTGAAGTAGAAACACCGAAAGAAGAGGGAAGAGGTAGGGAGATAAGTATAAATGAAATAATGAAAGCAATGAAAAGCATGAAAGCAGGTAAGGCTGTCGGATATGATAGAGTTTCACTCGAAATGCTAAGGACTGGAGAGGAAGTGGTGGCAGGCCTGCTGCACACCTTGTTTAACTTGTGCTGGGAACTGAAGTGGGTACCGGTAGACTGGTGCAAAGCCGTGATAGTCCCAGTATATAAAGGAAGAGGGTCGCAGCAAGACTGTAAAAACTACCGTGGCATCAGCCTTCTTAGCATTGTGGAAAAACTGTATGCTAAGGTACTGATTGCAAAGGGTCATGAAAGAAACTGATGGAAAAATTTGGGATGTGCAAGCGGGATTTGTAAAGGGAATGGGATGTACAGGTCAAGTCTTTTCCATGCGCATGATCGCGGAGAAGTTTCTGGCCAAAAACCAAAAGGTTTTTTGTACGTTTATGGACTTGGAAAAGGCCTATGACAGAGTGGATAGGGATTTGCTATGGCAAACACTGAACTCATTTGGGTTGAGCGCTGGCTTGATACAGGCATTGGAGTCTTTTTATAGGGACTCTAGTGCTTGTGTTAGGATCAACGGTGTCTACTCAGACTGGTTTGACATCCATTAAGGTGTCAGACAGGGCTGTGTGGCTTCCCCGTGGCTGTTCAACCTATTTATGGACAGTAGTTTGCAAAATTTGAAAGTTTAAGAATGCGAATTAAGAATTGGTGAGTTAACCGTCAAATGCCTTTTATACGTAGTAGAGCCATGATGCAGTTATATTAGTAGTATAGTTGTAGCACGAATGGGTCGGCTCGACCGGGGAAGGACCACGCTCTCGCAGAATACCAGCGTGAAATAGTAGCTTAATGCTGCTGTATTTCGTATGGTGAGTGTAGAGAACCCGAGACCCTTTTTACTAGAAATGAGGCATCCATCTCAGTCCTCAAGGGTGACAACGCATCTGCATTTTGATTTGTAATGGAAGATAGATGTAGATGTCTATGGGCCGCAGCAACCACTTACCATCAGGTGGACTGTGTGCTCGTTTGTCACCCTATCCTATAAAAAAAAAAAAAAATACGCCGATGATCAAGTTATTCTTGCGTCGTCGGCGGCCGAGTTGCAAATGATGGTTACATTAATGAACGGATCATTAAAAGAAAGGGGTATGAAAGTGAACGCATGTAAGACGAAGGTTATGGTTTTTGAAAGAGAAGAAAGTAAAACGATTTGTGAAATAAGAATAGAAGGGGAGTTGATCGAGCAAGTAGATGAGTTTGTATATTTGGGCTGCGTATTTAGCAGGGATGGGAGATATGATAAGGACATAGAACGACGAGTGAATGCGGGAAATAGAGTAAATGGGGCCTTGCACTCTATTGTGAAGAGTCAAAATGTGTCGAAAAAGGCACGTATGGCAATTCACAATGCTGTGTTGGTCCCTACTTTAACGTATGGTAGTGAAAACCTTTGAGGTTAAAATAAAAGATCTCGAAGAAAAGTTTATCAACCAAACGAAAGATCACCAAATTAAACTAAGAAGAGGTGTAATGGGCAGGTGGCAATGGGCCGGCCATATAGCTCGAAGAACCGATAACCGATGGGGAAGAAAGGTTCTCGACTGGCAGCCTCGTACCGGTAGGCGTATTGTAGGGCGACCCCCCACTAGGTGGAGTGACAAACTGGTAAGATATGCAGGAACTCGATGGATGCAGGTGGCTCAGGACTGTGCTTTGTGGCATTACTTGGGGGAGGCCTATGTTCAGCATTGGACTTGTGAAGGGCTGTAATGATGATGATGATGAAGAAGAAGAGGTGTACGAGGCGAGCACCTCATATGTTACTGATCCCAAACAGAGTATTGTATATAATATACATAATGTGACAATAAATAAGCCGAAATTTGAAAATGGGAATACTCATCCAGTAATATGTTTAGAAGATCTCACCAAATATTTAAAGAAAGTCCCATCTAATGGACTTGAAATATCAATAGCACAGGAGTGCTTAGTAGGTGAATCCAAATATTGGGCTCGAATTAATAGTGTGCGCTGGTCAACTTTTCATGATTTTAAAGAAGACTTTCTAAGATAATTTTGGGGAGAAGAGGAACAAAATAAAGTAAGAAGATTCCTTGTACAAAATAAATAGAGTAGATATACGCAGCCACCATGGTTGGTTACTTTCTTTATGTTATTGAAAAAGCACAAACATTATCATATCCGATACCAGAAAAACAATTAGTTGCTGATGTTATTAGACATTATCCTAAAACAGTGCAGCAGTTATGGAGAATAGCTAAAATTGAGACAATAATTGAGACAACAGATTTCTTGAGAAATTTAGATGATACTGA